CCCTAATCATTACACTTTGCATCGTGCCTAAAACGCCCCTTAGCTGTTATAAATTCACTGTAAACCACGGCTTCTTGGGGCTTATTGCTTTATCACAATACAGTAGCAGACATTTTAACACAAACGCCATTTAGAATCTTCAGATGATTCATCCATTTTCATTTCAAATATCTGTTTTATTTGTATGCAAATGCCATACTGTAAGTACAAACAAAACTGCAATTACAGTATGATCTGGTTTTTGAAGCTTCTGTTGAGGTCTTTGTGTGTCAGAATCACTCTCAAATAATATATTCATGATGATGTCATATAAAATTATCTAGAATTGTAATAGAGTGTGTTAGTTTTCCATCTCTGAAGAGTGTCTCGCTGTCAATTTTGGCATATGGGTCATTAGGATTCGGGTCACTAGGGGTCCCTTCCACTCTGGCCCATTTGCCAATGGTGCTGCCCCAGCCCACAATACTGTTCAACAAGCAGCTGTGATCCTACAGAACACAGAGTCAGCATATATACTGTATTATATTGTGTTGAGTCATTGGTTTTAAATGCCAGACAGTGCAATAGGAAAAGAAAGTGTGTTTTGTGCCACTGGTAAGGGACATGAACTCACCTGTAAAGTAGCACCATGGAGGATGACGGACTCCCTCACACGAACTCCTGCACCGATCGTTACGCCTGTACCTATGGACACGTTTGGACCTAACTAAAAAAAAAAGAAAAGAAACACCAATATAGCATGAAATAAACTAAGTAAGGTGCAATGATTAAAAAAAGCATGCAACAATCTCTGTGCCACTAGCATCAACAGCTGGAATTGTACAAGCATGTTTCCCCCGTTGCCTCTCAAAATGGACCCTTTAACTTTAGTAATAATGACCCAAGTCCTATTATGTTCAGTTCCTCAGGGCATGTTATGATGACCTTTGACTTGGTCCACCATGGCATATCACTAGAGGATGGGTAAAATAGAAGGGAAAATGGCTCCACTTTATACTGAGTGTCTTTAACTACTAAGTAATAACATTTAAATTAATATTTTGATACAATGCACTTACTGTGCACAAAAATACCTGCAAGTAATTACTTTCTCTAGTTACATCTATAGATGAATATGAAAATATAAATAGATATAGTATATAGATATGAATTTAATTTCTAAATTATCTCTTTTTTTTACATTTTGAGAATGGTCATTTGATATTGAAAACTTAAATGTTAACATAATATAGTTGGATATAATGCAATTTAGTTTTGACCCACAGCTCTCAGCCATGTTTGATTGATCTAAATTGAAAAGTTTGGGCGCCTCTGTTCTAAAGAATGGAAATGTAATAATTACTTAACAAGTATACTGGTGACTTTTTGTTTGACTTTGACATGACCAAGACTGCACAAGTAAACTAATGCTATGTTAATATCATAAGCAAACATACTTATGCTCAAATCAAATCCTGATGGCTGATTCTGCAAATCTTCTGCTGAACATACTGTTACATGCAGAAGTGTTATATTGCAAATGATTATATTGAGAAACTCTAAGAATCAATTTAACTATAGAAGAGAAGCACTTACCACAGCAGTTGGATCAATGTTGGCTGTTGGATGTATATAAACATTTCCTAAAATAAAAAAAATAAAAATGTATTAGAAGCACTGCAAAGAGCTCTTTCCGACAAACAAAATTCACACTTCCACTAAGCATTTACCTCTGGTCTTTGGCCCTCCTTCTCTATTAGTAGCTAACCTCTCTGGATGTGTCTTGTGATACTGGTTAAGATACAAACGGCTTGCATAGATCACAGATCTGAAAGAAGAGGGGAGCATAACATTAACTATAATCATACACACACACACACACACACACTATCAAATATAGTTACAGAGAAAATGCAGCAACTCAAAAACAACTGTAATAAAACAGCATATGTCAACAACTAACCCTGCAGATTTGATCTGGCTCCAGAAGCGGCCTGTTTGGTAAACATATAATTTACCCTGGCCTGCCAGCGCTGTGAAGATGTCCTGCTCCAGACGGATCACCTCTGTCCGATGCCAGCCGTTGGACTCCTCCTCTCTACAGCACACAACCACATAGTACCAAATAAAGTCTTAATTTCACCCTCTGGTTATGTCAGGAGAGTTTTCTATGACCCAAGACAGAGGATGACATAAAATGACACTATGATGGGCAAACACATAATTAGGAAAGATAACTTGAACAAAAACAAATTAATGAAAATGAAAGGTAAATGCTGAAGATGCAGGGGGTTAAAAACAACATGAAATGGCATTTGTAATGTATTTAACTTTCAAAACGTATTGTATTTATTAGTAAATCAGAATGCTCAGTAAAATGCAATGGTCAGGTTCTGTAATTAAAAAATCCATTCATATTCCCCATAGGGGAAAAATCTTTGTTCAAACCATCAATGCCCATTATTTCAACTTATATTTTAGATAGTCATGTTTAACGGGAATTCCTACATTACCCATGATTCTTTAGAAATCACCACCAATCAGAGAATCAACATAAGCAAAGGGATTGTAGTTCCCTCATTAAAGCTGTTAAGGACACAGACTTGTCTTTTTGAAAGATTTTCATATACTTTTTTGCTTCAAATCAAAGTTTGTGATGTTGTGATTCACCTCATTGCTGGTTGGTTTGGGTTCATGGCTTATAATTCTTTAAGAAATACTTTTTAAAAATCCTATAGGAAAAATAATGGGGGAAACAAACCTTTTGGAAGCAAGACTGCCAAAACATTGTGCACAGGCACTGTTGCACTCTATAGGAAACCATTGGGAATTCCTACATTACCCATGATTCTTTAGAAATCACCACCAATCAGAGAATCAACATAAGCAAAGGGATTGTAGTTCCCTCATTAAAGCTGTTAAGGACACAGACTTGTCTTTTTGAAAGATTTTCATATACTTTTTTGCTTCAAATCAAAGTTTGTGATGTTGCGATTCACCTCATTGCTGGTTGGTTTGGGTTCATGGCTTATAATTCTTTAAGAAATACTTTTTAAAAATCCTATAGGAAAAATAATGGGGGAAACAAACCTTTTGGAAGCAAGACTGCCAAAACATTGTGCACAGGCACTGTTGCACTCTATAGGAAACCATGTAGGTTGGGACACTTTGGTTAGTGATTGATTGAGGCTAAAATATTATTAGTTATAAATCATTAGATTTTGATAATAGAAAAACACACACTGAAGAGTTCTAATTTATGCATAATAAGATTAGGAACACTTATTAGGAAAGTAAATATTAATTCTGAATTTATGTTGTCTTTAATGTCTTTAACTGTAAGATGTTAATGAAACAGAATAGCTGTGAGTTATAGCCATATTATCAGGCAGAGGTGAGGATTATATTAAAGGGTTAATTCACCCAAAAATTTAAATTCTGTCATTAATTCCTCACCCTCATGTCATTTCAAACCCGTAAGACCTCCATTCATCTTCGGAAAACAAATTAAGATATTTTTGATGGAATATGACAGCTCTCTGACCCTCCCATAGACAGCAATGTAATTACCACGATCAAGGTGCAGAAACGTAGCAAGGAGATCTGTAAAATAATCCATGTGGCATCAGGGGTTCAACCGTAATATTACGAAGCTACGAGAATACTTTTTGTGCACAAAAGAAAAAGAAATAAAGATTAATGAATAATTCACTGAACGCAAACAGCGTATGTTGTTCTGTATCAGCCGCACCACACGGATACGTTGTTTTTGTTCAAATCAAAGCACAAACAACATAGAAATCGTATCCATGTGGTGCGGCTGACACAGAACAACATACGCTGTTTGCACTCAGTGGATACTCTCCAAAATGGCGCTAGGGTGCGGGAGGAGACGAGTTGTTGAATACAGTTGTTTTTTACGGTACCCCTGTCACATGGATTATTTTACCGATCTCCTTGCTACGTTTCTTCGTATCCATGTGGTGCGGCTGACACAGAACAACATACGCTGTTTGCATTCAGTGGATACTCTCCAAAATGGCGCTAGGGTGCGGGAGGAGACGAGTTGTTGAATACAGTTGTTTTTTACGGTTGAACCCCTGTCACATGGATTATTTTACCGATCTCCTTGCTACGTTTCTGGACGTTGATCGTTGTAGTACCCTTGCTGTCTATGGGAGGGTCAGAGAGCTGTTATAGTCCATCAAAAATATCTTAATTTGTGTTCCGAAGATGAACGGAGGTCTTACGGGTTTGGAACGACATGAGGGTGAGTAATTAATGACAGAATTTTCATTTTTGGGTGAACTATCACTTTAACTTCTGAGTGGATTTCAAAGATGAAACCTGAAAAACAATTCATAGTAGTATCACAACATGTGTGCCGTGTTGTTATCGTCACACCACAACATGCTAACATGAATCTAGCTGACAGATCACACAAGCAGGCAAGCTCACTACAAGATCTACATCACACTTGCTCCTTCTCGTTCTACATCCAAGCCAAACCAAACCAAACCTTCAGTCCACATTCAAACTCACCCCTCATCGTAATATCTGATGATGGAACAGGAAACAGAATGATAGCAGGCAGGAAGGAGTTAGAGGGGAAAAGACAAATGAAGAGAACCAAGGAAAAGGAACAGATTAAGTATGCATGCTCTTCAACTCAAGAACCATGTCCTGTTGGTTCTTCTGGAAAACTGCTCCGATGTGCTGGAATATCTCTGGAGTGAACAGGTATATTCCACAGTTGATTATGTCACTCACAAATGTGCTGGGCTTCTCGACATAATGCAAGACCTGGAGGATATGATAAGACAATTATGAATTTACTTGTTAGTGCTTCAAGTTTTTAAAATAAGAAGGAACAAATCCTGATTACCTCATCAGCTTGTTCATTCTCAACAATGCAGCCGTAGTTCAGAGACTGTTTTCTGTTGGCCTGAAACAATCCGATTTGATTTTCAAGCACCACAACATCATAACAAAACTCAAATTAAAAACAAGCTAGTCATCAATTGAGAATCCTGTTTTATAAGTAGCCTGGCTTGTGTCTTTCATTATAATACATCTATGGTTTGATACATAAACACAAACTCCTAACCGTGGTACCGAGGATGACAAAACTGTAAGCGTCTCCGTGCTCCTTCTGGAAGTCTGTCATCTCTGGCAGAGGAAACTCTGAGCACACATCAGCATTCATGACAAAAAATGCCTCTGGACCACCGGACAGGATCTGATCTCTGAAATGGTAGATTCCTCCTCCGGTGCCCAGAGCAGCGTACTCCTGAAGGTATCTGAGGGAGATTTCAGACAATCCATGTAAACAAAAGCCGTGATTGAAGGAACTTTTCCGATTTTAAAAACAATAAATACAAATGTTATATAATATAAATATTATAAAGTAACTTACCTTATTGAGATTTTGAAATCTTGTTGGGCGCATGACAAAAATCTGTTTAGTTCTTCATTGGGCTGATAAAAGCCAATAAGTAAGATCTCCTTCATATTCGGAAGCTAAAGAAAAAAAGAAATCATAAAAATTATTAAACAAGTGAAGAACTTTTCCCTGTAGGGAAATTAACACAATATCTATCGATCTCTATATGAACTGAAAATATGTACCTTAGAACAGGCCTCAATGTGACGCTGCCACTGGAGACAGAGGTTTGGGCACCTCAAAAGACAGCGGGTGAAACCGGGTGCCTGTATGAACAGCAGAAATACAGAATCAGACTTTGCAGGAATACATTTCATGTCTACTGATCATAATTTTATTTTCCTAACAATTTTCTTCACAAAAGTAAATCACAGAAGTTAAGCATGCCGTGCAAGTTTTTTTAATAATTACAATTTTGCTTCTCATGTCCTTTAAAGGTACATTTTATATCAACACAGGTTGGAGTTTTGCATAACATTACCAAAATTATAACATTTGCATAAAAGTGCCAAAATGATATTTTAAGGCATATTTATGATTTTTTTTAAAGTCCTGTCCTTAGTGACAATGCTGAGACTATCACAAAATATCATTCTTAAAATTCTTTTAAAGCAATCACTGTACAGACAAAATAGCGATGGTGTGTCAATCTGCACCACTGTTACGAGTCTAAGGAATATTTACTCACCTTTTTGAGGACCTTGGATAAGAATAACAGCCTTCAGCATGATTGCTTTCTTCTTATATATGCATATACAGTGGGTACGGAAAGTATTCAGACCCCCTTAAAAAAGCTCTATAAATACTGCTGAGGTTGAAGTAAACAGATGGTCGAGCAGGAAGTACTCAAGCTCATTCAGTGAATCGATGCATGAATGTCATTCCATTTTTGGATTCAACGTGCAAAAAAAAAAAAAAAAGGGTTTGTTTATGAATCCAATTCCAAGGTAATCAACATGACAGCATCATAAAATCTTAAGAGCTCACAGCGGCAGGTCCGGAAGTACCAGGAGGATTTTTTTTAATCTAATCACTGTCCTGTTTACTTGAGGGCAAAGAAACCGTCAGCTAAATCTTAATTATATGGTTTGCTTTTTAAATTATTATTATGATTATTATTATTATTTAATTATATAATAAAGTTTTATTGCTTGTTATCAGTGTTGGGGAAAGTTACTTTTAAAAGTAATGCATTACAATATTGCGTTACTCCATAAAAAAGTAACTAATTACGTTACTTAGTTACTTTTTATGGAAAGTAATGCGTTACGTTACTTTTGCGTTACTTTTAAAATCTGGACAGGGCTTGCTTGTTTGTTTTTAAAATAAAAAAGTTCTATTTTTGGCAAATATAAAAGCCTTTTCACACCTGAAAAGGCTTTTCATTTCACTTATTCAAGTGAAATGAATAAGCCTCAGGCTGAAGGGAAAGTAAATTTACGTCTGTACAGTAGAATACAGAAGAAGAAATTTCAACACACTTCAGCAATAAAAAAAGACACAAATGTTTGTCTAGAGTAATTTTTGCTTATTAGTATGGTTGAACTGGATCATCGAAGGTCAGAAGCGACGACATTGCTTTATAGAATGGGATTAAATACATAAAGGATATTTGTGTTGTTTAACATTTAACTATTGCAGGTTTGCGTCATATTCTGAGTTGCATTATTTTTATTCATTTTGAGGAACTGAATTTTTTTTTGTGAGTGAGATGAATTAATGCATATTCATATTTATTTTAGATCTACAGTAACATCTGATTTCTCTCAACATGGGGACAGGAGAGCTGTCAATCAATAAATTGGGGAAAAAAGTAACTTGCGTTACTTATTTGAAAAACTTATATTTGCTTGTAAATTAAAAAGTAATGCGTTACTTTACTAGTTACTTGAAAAAAGTAATCTGATTATGTAACTCACATTACTTGTAATGCGTTACCCCCAACACTGCTTGTTATTGTTATACCTCTATGGTTGTTGATTTTATTTTATTTTTTACATTATTGCACATGATACATAATATCAGTTATCCGCCAGCCAAAACCTCATTTAATTCAAATACTTACATTGCAATGTGCAGTTCCTGTAACTTTTAATTTCAAAAACACGTGGGGAAAATAACTAGTGTCACACTGTCACCAGGTATCAGAAGCATTATGCTGAATGATATGTAAATAAATGTTCAATATTGATGCCAGTGAACTGACAAAAGGGGGCTTCACTTGTACATCATAAGAGCATTCAGAGCATCAGAGGTGTGAATAGAGGCTGTTTCTGACTCCTGCAGGACTCTGATAAGCAGGTCCTGTGTGGGGCATTTCAGACTCTTTGCCTTCATGCCAATGCAGAATTATGAGAACGTTATAATCATACATTTTCATAATCTCTACAACCCAGGGCATGCTGAACAATTTTCTTTGTCATTTTTTTCCTCCTTCCTCCCTCCATAAAGACAACAATATCTAATCTAATGTATAAGATTTTATTTCTTAATCTAATATCTCAGTCTGATCTATTTCATTTTTTATTGGCATGCATAATTTATTTAGAGTTATGTAAGGATTACAAAAAAGTGAAATTGCATTTACTAAAGATAAATGATACATTTTTAAACATATTAAAGGACCATTTACAATTCAGTTAAAATAAACCTAAGAAAGATGACCAGTCGCAGATCAGTAAGCACATTTACAATTACAATGATGTCTTTGCTGTCTGCAACGTTTGAATGGAGAAAAGTCTGAGAATGTAAATTAATGTGCGATTTGCAAATGCAAATTTGAGTCGTATATTTATTAAAAATAATTGTTTAAAATGTATAAAAACAAAAGATAAAGAGCACACCGATAAAACTATCTACACAACAAACTCTGTTTGTGCGTGTTTAAACAATGTTAAATAATATTGTAGCAAGATCATGAGCTGTGCTGTAGCGCCGTCTATTGGTAGAGAGGTTTTACTACAAGATCATTAACTAATAATGACCACAACAAAGATCTAACATTCATCAGACCCTGTACTTGTTGAATACAAAGAGTTATGAATAGGAAAACATGTGCATGTGAAGATAATACATATATCTATGTTCAGGTCACCAAAAAAGAAGGAACAGTTCATAGCATTTCAAATAAACTAAACAGTGGTCACACAATACGGTATTTTGGCAAGATGACTAGACCAGTTCGGGAAATAGATACTGAGCGCAGTCCAGTGAGAACAGAACCCTGGAAACTAGAGATGCGCAGCTCCTCCTAGATGTGTCGCCTGGTTGCAGCCAATCAGAGCGCTCCAGTGCGCACCTCTCGCTCTTCACTGCATCACATGCGGAGTTCTTTACTGAGAGCAGAACAAGTTCATGCAGTCCCGTTGCTGAGGTCACAGCAAACGTGGTAAGCGAAACATTACTCCATTCATTTACAATCATTATAATTATGTTGATGTCACACTGGCAAAACATTCGAGAACAGATCACTTTTGTTGTTTTAGAAACTTATTTAAAGTGAAAATAAAGTGTAACTACTGTATTATATAAATGTAGTTATATAAAATAACTGTACTGAGTTGGAATGCACTGCATACTTGGTTATGCTATATTATTTTGTATATGTGTGAATAGAGAGAAAGCAATAAATGTATAACATAAGCATTACATTAATTTAATTATTCAAGATCTTTAATTACGTGGCTTGGTTTCAGGGATATCACAATGTCAAAGTCAGATCCCCCTCCAAGTTATGAAGAGTCAAGAGAGCAGCAGCACGGAAACTATCCATACCCTCCCTACGGATATCCTGCCCAGCCAGGGGTGTACACGGGCCCGGGACAGCCTGGCATACACCCCCAGGCAGGGCTTTGGCAGGGCCCTGGATACTGCCCTTCAGCAATGCCATCTATGATGCCGTCCTTTATAACACCAGGGATATTTTCCTCCAACCTAAGTAAGAATCCAGTTCTCATGTCAATCATAAAGCATAATATATTACTTCTTTACTGTATTTATTTATGTGTTTTGTAAAAATCAAGTTTCATTACAGCAAACTGTTGCACAGAGCAGCCTACATTTGTGCTATTTAGTTCATATTCTATTTTCTCTCTCTCTCTCTCTTAAGATGTATTTGTCTGCTTTATGAAGTGTGCATTGTTGGGAAGTAACTAGTAACTAGTTACATAATGTAATTACAAAATATATGTAACTGTAATCTGTTACGGTTACTGATAAAAAAAATGTGTAATTAAATTACAGTTACTTATGAAAATGTTAATGATTACAAAGGGGGTTACATCTGAATATTTTCAAACACACACACACATCTTTTTTGCTATCTCATTGCATAGACTTCCATTGATTTTACATCAGGTTAATGATATTTTCTATCAGCTAACCCAACCCATACCCCTCACAGAAGCATGTGCAAAACGCTAGATTTAAATAAAATAAATACAAGTACAACTCACAAGTATAGTTGGATCGATTTGACATGCATTCCAAGATGGCGCTGGTGTATGGCCTGCCTGTTGTAGCCGTTTGTTTGCTTTAATGTGTTTTATGTTAGCCATTTTACAAAATGTTTCATCACTTTTAACATACGATCGTCAAACACTGCTTGGCATTAAAGACATCACTAAGGAGCTACGATTTAATTGGTTTAATGAGGTATTTTACCTCAGAACGATCTCAAAGTTAAAAGTCTGATTTTATGGTAGCTGTGCTTTAAAATTTAATTAATTAATTCAAGTGGATTATTGATTGAGGATTTTGAAATTCTGATAGTAATCAGTGTTGAGTACTACTGTAAAGTTAACCCTGCCTGGTTTAAATGTTTGAAAATGCTTAACAGTTGAAAACACTCATTAGAAATTTAGAAACGTAATCAAATGTAATCAGTTACATTAATAAAGTAATTTAAATAATTACACTACTTAGTACATTTAATTACATTTAAATAGGGTAGCTTGTAATCTGTAAACTATTACATTTCCAAAGTAACTTTCCCAACACTGGAGCTATGTTTTATTCAGAATTCATGCACTCTTGTTAGGTGGTTGAGTATCTGGCATACGTCTGGTACTGTACAGTTTTAAATGCGACCTAGTTGTCCAAGTACTTTTTGGTGGCCTCTGTGTGTGACTTTTATGATCAAATATGTATTCAAATGTGCATTTTTGTGTATTCATTGTTTTGTTGTAGCAGATGCAGAGGGCATTTCAGCAACTGGCGTATGGGACAGCATGAGTGTTCGACATGCCTTCATTAGAAAGGTATTGAGACTATTTATTTTGAAATAAAACTAGTACTACAGATTTATAAACATAAAAATGTAGCAATAAAATGGGCAACAGCTTCATGTAAAGAAATTGGCTTGTGGTTGTTTTTGTTCCAGGTTTACCTTATTTTAGCCGTCCAGCTGTTTATCACTACTTCAATCATTGCGGTGTTTACCTTTGTGTGAGTACAACAAATCCACAAAACAGCTGAACTTTTATGAACTGAATGTAATACACTATACATACTAATGTAATGAAATGGGTGTGTTTACATAAATCCCTCATCTTACAGTGAGCCTGTGCGTCTTTTTGTGATCCAAAATCCTGCCATTTATTGGGCATCATTGTGAGTTTTATTTTACCGTCATGTCTGACAAGTCTAAATGAATGACAAAAACAAATATCATTTATGCTACACTACTGTTCAAAAGTTTGGGGCTGGTAAGATTTTTTAATATAAGCAGAAATCAATATTCATTGATGAACAGAAAGTTCAAAAGAACAGCATTTATTTGAAATAGAAATCTTTTGTAACATTTTAAATGTCTTTACCGTCACTTTTGATAAATGTAATGGTTCCCTGTTGAATAAAAGCATTTCTCAAAAAAAAAAAAAAAAACCGTACTGACCCCAAACTTTTGAATATGTATATTATATTGAAGTAACAGTGACTTTTTTTTCTTTTTTTCCTCACAGCCCGGTGTATCTTGTTACTTACCTTATGCTGGTTTGCTGTGAGGGGCCGAGGTGAGTTTAGTCAGTTTTTCACTCTTTACATTATAAGCACCAGAATATCTATTTAATAATGGAAATCCTGACTTGGTTTTTAGGAGACGTCATCCATGGAATTTAATACTCCTGTTCATTTTTGTAAGTGATGATTGCATTTAACTATGCTTTCATAGGCATTCACGTTGAATTATTCATTATAACTGACCAAACATGTTTTTTGTCCTCCATAGACCCTTACGTTATCTTACATGACAGGAACAATATCAAGGTAAGACTAGAGTTTCCTCAGTTTCACACACTGCATGTGGTTGGTTTTAAACGTCAGATAAGCTCTTGTTTTTTTGGCATTATTTACAGTTATTTTGACACCAAAGCAGTGTTCCTAGCCCTGGGGATCACAGCAATAGTGTGTATAATCGTCACAATCTTCTGTTTTCAAACCAAGGTAAGACCTGCTGTGGCAGCACCCAAGCTCTGATCGACTGGTCGGTGGTGAATGCCACTTTGTTCCCCGTGTAAAATAACCCCATTGTATTTGATTACAATGATCGTCTGTCTCTTTTTAAACATTCATGGCTTACTGATAGATGTCTCATGCTTAGTTGAGACAAAACTGTTTTTTGTGCGCTCTGCTTTTTACTGGATCAATTTTTGCTTTTGTGTAATATTTTCTCCCCATTTTACTTGTGAAATCTACTTTTTTACATTCATTACATTCTACAGTTTGCGACTACTGAGTTTTTTTGCTTTGTTTTGTGCATTTGAACAGGTTGACTTCACCTCCTGTACAGGTCTGCTCTGTGCTCTTTGTGTGGTTCTTCTGGTGATTGGCATTATCACATCCATTGTACTCTCATTTCAATATGTAAGTGAGGCCATTATGTCATTATTTCAGTCATTGCAAATGATTTGAAAGTTTAAAGCAGTGGTTCTCAAGGGGCCTTAGCAAACTTATAAAGGATGTTCTTATATTAACCCTTTCATGCATGGTGTCCACATTTGTGGACAGTTAATTTAACTCCATTTAGGGTTCATTTATCATGGTAATTTTCTCCAAACCACTTGAGGGCAGTGTCAGTAGATTGACAGCAATTGTGTAACAGTGGCTACTATCTTGCATTCCAAATATGTGGACGTCATGCAACAGTGGAGTCAGATTGCATAAAGTCTGATTTCTGTAACCTGCTAGTATATCTATTCTATTTTTTCCAAAGATGTTATGAATTGTTTTATTTTGTAATAAAACAGAAATTTAACAAATAGATCAACATAACCATTTAAAATTACATATTACAGCATTAAAGGAGTAGTTCACTTTCAGAATGAAAATTCTGTCACCATTTACTCACCCCCCACTTATTCCAAACCTGAATGAGTTTCTTTCTTCTGTTGAACACAAAAGAAGATATTTTGAAAAATGTTGGGATCTGAACAGTTGATGAGCACCTTTGACTTCCATAGTAGGACAAAAAAAAAAATACTATGGAAGTCAATGATGCTCATCAACTGTTCAGATCCCAACATTTTTTCAAAATATCTTCCTTTTGTGTTCAACAGAAGAAAGAAACTCATATAGGTTTGGAATAAGTGGGGGGTGAGTAAATGGTGACAGAATTTTCATTCTGAAAGTGAACTACTCCTTTAAATGGCAACTTTACACATACATAAAATCAAAAACAAATTTTAACTAAAACTATGTTATGTTACATTTTAGATGTTAGTATACTATAACTGAGATGATTCAACATGAAGATAAGGATGAAAATATAATAAGTTGTTACAATCAGCAGTGAATGTTTTCCATGATTTGCCCATATTGCTAATAGGTTTCCGCATATATGTAACTACTGTTATGGTTCCTATAATATGTGTTTTATTGTTATTATATTGTGATATTATTGTTTTTAATAACTGAGCTGATATAAATAGCATAACATGCCTTAAAAAAAACACAATATTCCATATTGTCAGCTGTGGCTTTATGTCCCATTTATGCCTTTGTTGCATGGTGTCCACATAAGTGGACAGTTAAATAATTTTTAAATAAAACAGATTTTTGTAAAAATGAAAATGGATTTCAATTGTAGCATCATATTAAAGTAATAAAAAGAATCATACAAAAATCTAGATAATGTTTTCCCTAATTCATGCATGAAAGGGTTAATATAAAGAAAATACAGTTTCTAAATTGATTCATGTAATATATTGACACTCCCAGCTAATAGAAATGTCTGAAAACAAGCAGCTTTATCATGATTAAAGCAGAATATACTGGAAGAAATATTATAATTGATATTATATGAGTGTTGGACAATGGGGTGTGGTGAATCTCGGTGAGCGTGATTTCACCAAGTACAACATGTTCCTGGATTAACATCCTTGTTGATCCTGGAACAACATTCCAATTAACCAATCAGAATTGAGGGATAACTTTTCAGGAAATATCTGTTTTAGGCTTACGATCAGGGTTAGGTGCTTCTACACCCTTGTTAATCAGCTATCATTTCACACTGATTTTAGGAATAAATTATGGGTAGGGTTAGGTTTAGAGGTAGGTATTGGGTTTAGTCTATATTTTTGGACAGTAATGTTGATCCAGGATGAACAAAAGATGTCAATCCAGGAACATGTCTTACTTGGCAAAATCACGGCGACCGGTGAACCTCTGGTTTAAAAGAATTCTTTGTTATTTGCAGTGCCTACATTTTTGGCACGCTGTGGATTACCACAGAAAATATTTTTGACTTGTCCCTTAGTTTGTTAAAAACAACAAAAACACATTGCAGTAACGCATTTACAATGGAAGCAAGTGGGCAGTATAAATAAACAGTCGCAAAAGTTTATCCATGACATTTAAAGTGACAGTTCCCCCCGAAATGAATCATTACACTCTTGCCATTCAACGACAACGAGTCAAAATAATCAAATAGCATCAAATCTTTAAACTAGTCTATACGCCCCACGTCTTCTGAAAACATACAATAGCACTGTGTGGGGAACAGACTGAAACTTATTAAATATCAGAATATGGGTGGGGGAGGATGATTAAAGTATAATTTGTGTGCAAATTGTTCTTTTAAGGCAGTGGTTCTCAACCGGGGGCCCTCAGCAAGGCCTCAAGAGGACCTAAAATTGTTCAAAATAAGACTACGGTGAATACTGTTGAGGACAGTGGAGTCAAAAACAGTCTGACAGCTGCATATTTGACAAACATTACAAATATTATCATGAAATTGATGTGGCAGAATTGCATACCAACCTTGTCTTTGGAAAGTAAGGCCTATATCCTGTCTTATGAGTGATTGACCGGTAATATACCTGTTATGTGACATATCATCAATGTCTCAGGTGCCGTGGCTGCATATGCTGTATGGTGCTTGTGGAGCAATAGTCTTTACCTTGGTGAGTTAATAAAACATTTAATGTTGTTTAAGTTATTCACCATAATTGTTGAAAATGAATCCCAACCCAGGTGAAGAAAAAAAAAACGAAGAAAAAAAAAAGTACTTCTTATGGGGAAAAAGACATACTTTAAAAGAATATATGTAAGTGTGAACTGAATGTAATGTTTTATACACGTTATTCACAATAAATAACATAACTATTAAATGCAATTAGCTTAACTTTAGAGTGTTTTTTGACCCACTAGGGGTGAGTAGGACTGAAGTACATCTTCAAATGAAAATTCATAATTACATAATCATAATCATGCACTTATAGTAACTAATATTTATTTTAAATGGCATTTCTTTTGAAAATTGTCTCCTGTATGTACACATAATTGTAAATACAAATGTATGATTTGCAATTTAGTACATTTAAAATATATTAACTTTATAAGTAATATGAAATTACACTACAGTTAAACTTATGGTCAAGTAATTTACATGTGCTTTAGTATTTTAGTCAACACTTTAAATTGAGTATACTTCAAGCATGATTAAAACAATCATTTAAAATGTACTTTAAAACTTTTAACATTATTACAAAGTGCACTTTTGAAGTGTAATTAAGTTTAAGGAACACAGTCGTGAAAGTGTACTTTCCTAAAGTGCACCTTGGTGGCCTTTTATTTCATTAATATTATATTATCTGCAAGTAGTTAAATATATAATAAATATATATATATATATATACTTCAAAGGCTTAAAGTACACATTCAATACAATTAAGAACAGTTTTTCACAAGGGAATACTTAATGATTGCTTTTCTTTGTCTAGTTTTTGGCTTACCACACTCAGTTGCTCATTGGAAACCGAGCGAACACCATCAGCCCTGAGGAATATGTCTTCGGAGCTCTTTCCCTCTATGTTGATATCGTCCAGATCTTTATCTTCCTCCTGCACATCACAGGAAGCTCTTCAGAGTAAACCCCAATCTTTCTTTGAGCTTATCTTGACTTTTTCAATCACATGCATCTCAAATATTACCTTCAACACTACTGTTATAAAAATTATTTTGTGTTATTTTCTGTGTTGTTCTACATTGGTTGCTCGCACTTTTACCAAATTGATTGTCACTTTATTTACAATAAGCACTTTAGTTTTGTAACGTTCCACCGGTTTATTTGCATTTTGAAGAGTCTACTGTAAAAGCATGAGGGTGTACTAAAACAGCTACACTGTGATTCGATGATATCAATATTTAGCCTATAACCTAAAGGGAAATAAAATGAAGAGAAACAGTTAACAAATTCATGAGGATTATTGGCCATAATACAGGAAATGTGTCTGTTTGAAGGGTGGCGCACTAGGTTAAGGTTACTTAACTGTAATTAAGACTGTGGACCATATTAAGGGGATAGTTCACCCAAAAATTTAAATTCTGTCATCATTTAGTAACACTCATGTCATTCCAAACCTATTTGACTGACTTTCTTCAGTGCAACACAAAAGATGTTATTTTGAGCAGGGTTATTATCATTAACTAAAACTATTAAACGTTTTTGTTAATTGAGCTAAAGTAAGTTTAAGCAATAAACTGGAAACTAACTAGAAATATTGAAATAAAAACTAAAACTGAAATAAAACAAATTAACCAAAATAGGATTATTTTTAAGAAAATATACATATAATAAAAATGACAAAAGAAATAAAATGAAACTAAAATTAGAATGAAAACTGAAAATATTAAAACAAATAATTCAAAATATTAATAAACTGTAATAGCATATAAATTATACTAAAATAAGACTGACTTTGAGAAAAATCTGTGGGGGGTTTTGTCCATACAATGTAAGACAATGGTCACCAACATTCGTAAAAATTTCTTCTATGTTCCACAGAATAAAATCATACAGGTTTGCAAGAATATGAGGGTGAATAAATTATGACAGAATTTTTTTGGGGGGGTAAACTGTACCAAAAAAACTACACTGGCATTACACAACAGAAAGTAAAGTAATATTGCCCTTCAATGTTTGGGGAATCACCTAAGAAGCAGTGTTAATTTTGACAGCAAATTTTGATTTAGTTTTAGTCATAGTCTTTTGACTAAAATGCCATTTAGTTTTAGTCATCTGAATTGTTTTTAGTTTTAATCGACTAAATATAAGATTTTAGTCGACCAAATCTACAGTAAATGTAGTCGGCTAAAATCTAATGGGGTTAGTTACAGTGTAATGCATTTATTAAGCATTTCTCTAAAATGTCCAAACTCATATTGGTTTGATATTAAGGTTTTATCATGATTTAACTGCTGTGACACACAACATGCCTTTATGTTAAAATTAAATAAAACCACTTCTCACAAACAAGAACAAGAACATGGTCTACTTTTTTATGAAATGCCAATGGTTATAAAGGCTAATTATGCATTCTTTATAGCAACTTGTTTACCATATTCTTCCAAGCAGACATATTTATTTCTATAAATACATTTATATTAATCTTTAAGGCTACTAAAGTTTTTCAGTCAAGAGCAGTGCACGATTTTCTGTCTTTCTTTTGATGCTTGATTAACATCAATTTATGCTAAGAAGTGCTTATGATTTGAAATATTCATTGATGAGCAAATAATTGCTCAGTCAAAAATATGTGGAAATCATTAACAATCATTCAGAACTTTCAAAAGAAAAATACTCCCAAAAGTATCATTTAGTTAATTTATTGTGCATGTATTGTTTAAATTATTTGTTAGAATTCTCAAAAACTTGGGTGTCAAGGAACATCATCAGTAGAAAAAACCTACATGTACAGTATGATTTTAATAATGTCACAATATCACCTGTATTATTTAACAGTTAACAATGATTCCCTTCGAAGTAAATTAGTTTTATCTAACATCATGTTGTGTCTGGTAATAAGTATAAAAGTGGCTTAATTTGTGTCGGTTAATCATCATGGCACTTCTGCATCCTGGCACATCCAGATCCCTGATGGCTGGCTGGTGGTTCTACTGCTTCAGGCGGGATGAGAGACAAGAAGCCCACTGGCTCCTTTAATCTTTACGGGGTCAGGCGTTTGGGGTCACGGGGGAACATGGAGGTCTGACGTACATTATGTAGGCCGAGATAAAGCATGGTCACTCTCTCCAGACCTAAGAGATGGCAGACATTTAACATCATGCACTAGTACATAAAAGTATATAGCCTAGTATAAAAAAAAGTATGCTGAATAAAAGTATTGCTTTCTTTCAATAAAATCTTAAATGACCCCAAACATTTGAACAGCAATTAGTCTGTAGAATTAGACCGTTTCTAAACTACAAGATTGTAAAAAACGTTTGTTACCTATGCCACCGCCGGCATGAGGAGGAGCTCCATAGCGGAACGAGTCGATGTAAGCCTTGATCTTCTCCAAGTCTGTAACACAGAGAACAAAATGTATCATCTACAAAACAGACTTTAGAGTAGTCATTACTTACCATAAAGATGAAGTACAGAGTGTTGAAATTCAAACGCATTATGGTCACCCCGCATGTAGATGTTCTGTATATTCTTGTTTATTAGAGCATCACATTTTGAGCTTAGCAACTGTTAACAAATAACTCTCTGAGTTTTGTAACACACCCTGCAGTATGTCCTGATCTGCATACTGGCAGAGAGGAGATACTGGTGAAGGTGACCTCTCTACAGATAGACATATAAATACAGTGGCCAGATGCTTTCTAGGCCACAATCTAGAGTCAATGATTGTCTCTGGGTGTGGAACAGATACTCAGATTTCCTGCTGTCCACCTTAGGGATGACCTGAGAATGGGAACAGCATATAGAAGGGGAAAAAAGAGACAGGAGGGTGTATTTTCATGCTTTACCTGGTCCGACACAGAAGACTTTGTCAAAGTCAGCACAAATGCACATCTGCTTGTAGAGCTGAGGAGACTGGGCCAGGTACGCACTGGTTTTAAAGTAGGAGACAGTGAAGACATTTGCTCCACCTTCACTGGCAGCTGTGAAAAACACAAAGACATATGCACTGTGATCATGGGTATTATTTTGTCCGCAGATGTGAGGACAGAGAAGTGCTAATAATTCTCATGGTAAGTATGGTCATCATAAGAACATGATGTTCTACAGGGAACGTGGAGTTGGGTGTGGGCACCGGATGTCATGCAGTTTTACTGAAAGAACACAGTGTTGATCTGTTGCGGGTGGCAGATCACACCAAAGGCGGCAAAGTTTAAATTTGAAATGCGTCACAAAGGCATTTTCTGATTGGCTGGTCGGGCTACAGAGGAAATGAAAGTAACTCTTTTCCTTGACAGCGAAAACAACATAAACACAACAGGGGGTTTTGCTGAGAGAAAGTGTTGTAACACCACCAAGACCTTTACTGACGTAATACCTAGTCTTTAAAATCATTGGTGGACTAAAAAAGAAGCATATTTAAGTGGCGGTTGAAGTAGTTGAGCTACATTATTTTTGCGCTCGACTTCCATCACCTGACAGCATCCTGATCAACAAGCAATGAACCACTCAATAATAAAAGTTAAAGTATTAGGCAAACAGAAGTAGTGACACAGATAGCAAACATATTAATTAAATGTAATACAAGTTGTTTTTGTGTGTGCACGGGGGGTATTTGTTTTTTATGAGATTTTTATAATAAATATTTTTAAATAAATTAATAAATAATTTCTTTCACATTTCCTCCTGTCATTACTCTTTCATTATTCCAATAGTTTCATTATACCACTACAACGGAAGCTCCTTTCTGCCTCAAAGTAAAACTAAATAAATAAAAATGTAACTGTGACCTTACACCTCACAATGCAACTTTATATTTCGATTTGTCCCATTTTAAACTTTTTCACACAATTGTTTCTTTTTCATTTATTTTTTTTAAGTCAAAAACAGTCTTCCATGCAAAAATTAAATGTTTTGAAATTATTAATTATGATTTATACTATCAAGATCCAAAAAGGACAAAAGTTTGGGGTCGGTATGTTTTGTTTTGTTTTTTTCACAAAGGCTACATTTATTTGATCAAACATACAGTAAAAAAGTTATATTGTGAATTATTACTACAGTTTTTAAAAAAAAAACTTTTCTATTTGAATATATTTTAAAATGTAATTTATTCCTGTGATGGCAAAGCTGAATTTTCAGCAGCCAGTACTTTTTGTGGGAACTCTGATATTTTATCAGGATTCTTTGATGAATAGAAAGAGCTGACAAAGCAATCAATTTGCACAGTTTTGAGTCGAGTCAACAGAAGCAGGCCCTGAACTCTTCGCAAAGACAGCTGTGCTCATGAAAACCAGCAGATCCGATAGCTCTTGGTGTACCCACCATCTCAAGAGTCCTATCAGTGACTGGAGACATATCTCCTTAATAAACACCACTTTTTCTTCAGCCAGTGTTTTGACAGTGTCGCTGTCTTTTTTTTTTACCTCAGAAAATGAAAAAAGTATCAATCCTTGAAATTGAAATTTTTAGAGACTGAAGGTGCAGAGAAGGAACAATAAACTAAGTTGGACAGCGTGAGCAGGAAATCATTCAGAAAGCTCAGTGTGTGAGGACAGAGATAAGACCTGTGCTACTCCGTCCCTGCCGTCATGAATACAGATACTCCAGTGTGAACATGGAGACAAGATCATTTGCCTCGTGTCATCTCAAATATTCTGTGAGGTTGAAGTCACAATGTAACAGAAGTACCGACAGATCGTTTCTTCAATATTGTGACGTAAATCCAAATGAAATGGATTATGGATTATGGATTATTGGATTACAGTTTACTGAATATGAGTTTACAGTCAACTGTAAGAAAAGGGCGGGGTTTAAACTGACTAACTGATTGGAGAAGTCTGGCCTAAATTATCAGAGAGAAGTCTGTCTTGAAGATAAAGTCATGATATTTTGATTATTAAGAAAAATATGAAACACGCATGGATGAATCGTGGCATTCAAAAGACATTTATTTAACTGCCATAATGTGGCATATTTATGCACAAAACGGAATATTCAGCCCGGCCTTCATTTCATCAGTGGAAATGTAGTTTCAGAGGTGGATAAAGTTTTGAGAAGACATGATGAAAACAGATCATGATAATAAATCAACCAGTGAATTCAGTGAGAACCAATCTGTAAATGAATTGCACAGTGGCTCAAAAGAAAGATTCAACTCACTGACTAGAGTGGTTGTGAAAATAACGTCTACATTTCGATCTGTTCCTCACATGCTTGTAATATAGTGCACAAGTCACATGGACTACTTATATTGTGCCATTATTTGTGCTTGCTGCTTGATCTAGTCACTACATGGTCATTTTCAAAAAAATATTCCTCAAAATTCTCCTTTTTTGTTTCACTGTAAGTAAATAACTAGTGAACTATTCCTCTGACATTGAGATGTGAACAAAAGGAAAGAGATGAAGTGCACTTGGAGATGGCCGTACCAGAGATGATTTTGGGGGTCTGGATCTCCACAAAACCCTTGTTGATGAGCGTGTCTCTGAAGAGCTGGCATACGCCTGACTGCAGCCTGAAGATGGCCTGGCTGGTCGTGGTCTGTGAGGGAAGATGCATGGGTTAGTAAACAATTTATGTAACCTGTTTGTTTGGGTGTGCTAGGGACTGATGTCAGCACTTCTCTTTTCATGCAGTTTAACACCTGGAAACCTCTGCATTTCACTTTGCACTGTGAAGGTTTTGTAAGTATCTCTGTAAGAGTTCCGGAGAAAACAATGCTAGATCTCAAAAGAGCTCTTTTTATAATGTTCTAATAAAATCTCTCTGGCAACAGAATATATTCTGGTCATTTTTGTCAGAGATACAAATAAATTAGGTCCTCTTCACAGGACCAAAGGGACAGAGCACTTGCAAAATCAATCTTCAGCAACAATCAGACCACCTGATTCCTTTGGTCTCAAACAAAAAAAGCTTTTTCAGCCTGAATTTCCCATGAATCAGATGCCTCCCTGATGACCCGTGATATGGGCCACATTTCCTCTTTCTTCATGACTTACAGAGAGCTTGCATAAATCCTAGAGAAACAATCAGCTTCTATTTCAATATTTCAAGGACCTTGTTTATTGGATTTGATTCAGTTAGGATAGACTCACTTTTTTGCAGACAAGAATTCACTGTAATATAATAACATTTAAATTTCTGTGGAGATTTATGATAATTAGATCTACTTTGGCTCCATGTTTGTAGTTTTATAGCCACATTATAAACATCCAAAACTCCCTAAGGGGATATTATTAGACCTGTAAATAACATATAAATCACGCTGTTCCAAAACCTAGTGAGCAGTCTTGCAGTGTACTGCCTATATAGGCAGCCATCTTCCAAGGGAGCATTCTAATGAAATATAACCAATTTGATAAACAGCAACTCTGCAGACAGCTCTATAACACACGTGCATAAACTGGACTGGTATCAAAATAGCTGTTTTTGCGTGATTTGAGATGAAGGGGATAAATTTATGATGCCGTTATTGTCAGATTTTATTGCTGCTTTTAAATCTATTATTGCCATGCAGTCCTGACAAACAGTTTAAGAGTTTCTGGTCTTCAACCAGATAAGAGTTGTACTTACTGTAAATGGGTTTTAATCAAGATAGCTACCGAATGAAGTGACTTTGGTTTGAACTTAGCAAAATAAATACTAAAAATACCTAGCAGACATAGATAATGGGTAAAATAGGTCATTATTAATTAGTTGGAACTATTATGAATATTATCAGTTTTCAGTACTGAAAATAAGTACACAGTAAGTTTG